CTTGTGGAGGCCAGTTCTACACGTTTGTTATTTCAAACCGCTGGTCCACACACACACACACGCACATTCTGGTACTCTCACGCACACAAAGTCAGATTTGTGGTATTTGCATGTGTGTGTGGCCCGTCAGACAGTCTCAATGCTGCGCTGTGTCGTCATCAAGTCAGCCTCCTCCACACACACACTTGCACGCATGGGCTTCACCTGCCCACAACGCTCACACATACACTCACACCAAAACGGACACAGAACACAGGACACAACAAAGTTCATTCAATAAAAGCAAACACAAACACTCTCACACACACACACATACATGCACGGTGCGTGACGCTAGCGAGGATTTTTTCAGCGTTCAGCTTTGGGCTTTCTGATATCTTCTGCAGGCCCTTCGATTCCGCACTTCACGATCCACACAGCTGAGAGTTCCGCACTTGACTGACGGCGGTGGCCAGAACTCGGGCCAAAGCCAGCACTCGAAGCCCCCAGCTGTCAGTTGGGGAGCCTGCGCAGTGGCAAGCCCCCACCCACCCACACGCACACTTTGACATTTGGTGCACTCGAAGAAATAAGGGGTACAAGTAATTGAAGCTACCAATGATCCGAAACTTAAGGAAATTTTAAGGGCTGGCACTTAAGAGTTGAATTATCAAACAATCTACATTCAAGATTTTCTTTTAAAAGAGGTTCCCATTTTTGAATAGGATAAAAAACCAAAACTCAGAAAAAAAAACCCAAAACTACATTTTTAGATTCCATAACTTCAGTTATTGAACACCGGTTAAGGTGTGGGATACCTTTATGACTTTGTGGCTGAATTCTTTAATAATCTACATTAACGTTTTTATTATAAACGGGGCTCACATTTTTCATCCATTTTCATGTTTAATTTTTCCGTATTTCTAAAAAGTTTCAGAAAGGGAACCCAAAACTGAACTTCTAGATTTCATAACTTGAGTTACTGGAATCCAATTTAGAAGGTTGATACCTCTTTGAATTTGTAATTGAATTCTCTAAATATCTACATTTAAATATTTCTTTTTAGCCGTGGTCCCAATTTTACCCCTTTTTCATGCTTGATTTTTTCGTAATTTCAATGATTTTCAGATATAGATCCCAAAACTGGACTTCTAGATTCCATAACTTGAGTCTTTGGGTCCTGATTTAGAAGGTTGATACCTCTTTGAATTTGTAATTGAATTCTCGAATGATCTATATTAAAATATTTCTTTTAAGCGGGGGTCTAAATTTTAACCCATTTTCAAGTCAGAATTTTCCATATTTATAAGGGGTTTCAGAATGGTTACCCAAAACAGCACTTCTAAATATCATAGCATGGGTATTTGCCATCCGATTTAGACGTGCGATGTCTTTTTGAAATCGTGGTTGAATTCCCTATAAATATACATTTTTATATTTCTTTGAGAAGATGGTCCAAATATTAACCCATTTTCAAGTCAGATTTTTCCCGATTTCCAATGGGTTTCCGAATGGTTACCCAAAACAGCACTTCTAAATATCATAACTTGGGTATTTGCAATCCGATTTAGTCGTGCGATACCTTTTTGAAATCGTGGTTAAATTCCCTATAAATCTACATTCAAATATTTCTTTCGGAAGAGGGTCCAAATTTTAACCCATTTTCAAGTCAGATTTTTCCATATTTCCAATGGGCTTCAGAATGGGAACCCAAAACTGCACTTCTAATTTTCATAACTTGGGTAATTGCCTTCCGATTTAGACGTGCGATATCTTTTTGAAATCGTGGTTGAATTCCCTATAAATATACATTTAAATATTTCTTTGAAAAGATGTTCCAAATTTTAACCCATTTTCAAGTCAGAATTTTCCCTATTTATAAGGGGTTTCCGAATGGTTACCCAAAACTGCACTTCTAAACATCATAACTTGGGTATTTGCAATCCGATTTAGTCGTGCGATACCTTTTTAAAATCGTGGTTGAATTCCCTATAAATCTACATTTAAATATTTCTTTTAGAAGAGGGTCCAAATTTTAACCCATTTTCAAGTCAGATTTTTCCCTATTTCCAATGGGTTTCAGAATGGTTACCCAAAACTGCACTTCTAAATATCATAACTTTGGTAATTGCATTCCGATTTAGTCGTGCGATACCTTTTTGAAGTCGTGGTTAAATTCCCTATAAATCTACATTTAAATATTTCTTTTAGAAGGGGGTCAAAATTTTAACGCATTTTCATGTTCGGTTTTTCCGAAATTCCAAGGCTTTAAGAATGGGAACTCAAAACTCCACTTCTAAATTTAACTTGGGTAGTTGGATCCCGATTTAGAAGAGGGTTAGCTCTATGAATTTGTGGTTGAATTCTCTATAAATCTACATTCAAATATTTATTTTAGCAGAGGTCCAAATTTGAACCCATTTTCATGTGATTTCTTTAGAACGCAGGTGTGTAAGCGCAAAACTCACCACTTTCCACGACGAGCACGGCGGTGACGAACTCGCAAAGGACCTCCTGATGTCTCTGCAGGCGATCCCTGGCCACAAGGACCCTTTCCAGAAGATAGCCGAGCATCAGGATCTCCACCTTCAGGATGGCGCACACATCGATGAGCTTGCGCACATCCAAGCGTTCCAGGGCGGCTCGGTTTCCCACCATGCCGCTGGCCAATTGGGCCAGTTGTCCTTTCTTCTCCTTTGATGATCGTCTCTGGAAGACAGGATCCCTACAGCAGCGTCTCATTCGCCTGGCCAACTGTTCCTGCCTGCCGTAAATGTCGCATAGCAATGCATCGAGTAGCTTCTTGGTTTCACTAGAGGACGGTATTCCGAATTCCCAGCTATCGTACTTATGCTAATGTGGCTCACCTCATTTTGTTGGCTTGATGATAAGACACAGCAGTTGGTGGTTTACTTTTAATTTAACGTTTGCATTGGTCTTGAGTTCCCAGCTTATTTTTTAATTTTTTCTTTTTTTACAAAAAGCAAATCAAAGAACTTAAATTAACATAATAATCAAAGACACTGACGTTTGGGTGATTTTATAAAATGTTATTTACTTTTTTTTTCTTTTTTTACATTTTAAAATTTGTTATTGATAGATTTGCTTAAGGTTGCTTAATAAGGCAAATGTTTGACGAAATAGGCATCACTTGTTGACCGGAATAAAATTTTAAAATGGCATAGAAATCCGTAAAATTGTTTATAAAGATTAAAACAATTTGAGAGTGGTTTGATTTGAAGCCAATTCTTAGTAGAAGGTGCGATCCATATGGGTGTTGAGGGAGAAATTGCGATACATGCCGAAACGAACGACTTCGTTGGAGAAATTCTGGGGAAGTGGATAGAAACGCTTGGGGATGGTATAGGCATTGGGGGCATAGTAACCGTATTCCGAGTTGCAGGTGCGGTACATGGTATTGGAGTCCGTCTCCACGCCATAGCCCTTGAAGCTGTCTGTTAGGGATAGGAGTGTACTTAAAGAAATAAATATTATTGGTAATAAGATCCTGCCACTCACAGGGACACTTGATATCCTCCCGCTTGTGCAGATTCTCGTAGAGCTGGGCAGTCCTCACGATGGGTTTGCGTTTTTGGAACTTGGCAAACTCGACCTCCGGATTGAAGGTCTCAAACTTGTCACAGTACTGCTCACACATTTTATCGAAATCTCTCTTAACTGATGAAAATTTTAATAATTATTTAACGCGACGGTGTTCTCGGGGTTTCCCAACTAACATTAGTGCCACTATTGCTATTGAACCAACGGGACAACTGCCAAAGAGGTTGCTATGTTTGAATTTTGACAGTCGACCGGGTGGAGGAACACATCACGGAATCACAAAACCCAGCGCCTGCGCATTTCTAACCACTTTGACAGCTGTCAGTTGACAGTTGTGGCCTGGCCAACCCACCCCGCAGAAAATACACAAAAACCGAACTCAACACACAACAATTTCCTGCAAAAATCGCTCTACGATGTATAGGATGTGCAATCTATCGAACCTGCTGAACTTCATCATCTGCATAGCCAGTTTCAGCCAGAACTTCGATGGAACCCTGGCGGTCAAGAGGGGTCCACACCATCCTCGGGGCGAAACTAGAAGAGTGGACCAGCATCTCACCCATGAGGAGCAGTGAGTGGAGGGGGAGTACGGAAAGTGTAGTTAAAATTTTAAAAGTATTTCTATATTTCAGTCGCATTGATGATGATCTGAGGGACATGGGTGTGCAGGCTAATCTGGAGGATCTGAGCGAGGAGGAGAAAATCTTCTATATGTTCAAGGTAGGTCTTTCAAATATTAACAAATAATAGTGAAGGCTATTAATTTCTTTGATAATTCTAGGCTCATGACAATGACAATAATAATGCACTCGATGGCCTCGAGATGATTCAGTCTGCCATGCATCATAACTATGACTATTTCAAAAACAACGAGAGGGATGAATACCTACAAAATGCCACTGATGAGCTGGAACACTTTATAGGTATGAGTTTTCTTATCTAGGGAAAACTATTGCGAACTTTAAAATACATTACATCAGATGTTATATTCAATTGGTTACAGAATATTTAATTTTATTTATTCGGTCATATTCATATACACATTTGCAAATTGTATTGTATATTTACTTTTATATTTTTACAGAGGCCATTGACAAGTTTTTGCTAATTGCGGATGACAACAACGATGGTCTGCTGCATTATCCTGAGTTTGTCAAGGCCATAACCGGTGGCAAGGAGCAACTGAATGTGGACAGGAATATCCTGCGCTAATCCCACCACCCGAACATCCCGATTAGCAGTCCTTAGTCCTCTACAACACAAAAACAGCCGAAGTAGACACAATAATAGACATAGCATAGTTAAAATATTTAGCAAATAATCTGATTTCCATGCTGAACCATTTGAGACTGTACACCACAAGCAGAAAACCCAGCACTAGACTGCACCTCGTTTGTACTACAAGCTAATGATTTAATATACATTTAAATAGATACATAAATAGTGTTTTCGATTGGTTAACTTTTAAAGCAATCCGTCACAAGTCTGGGTGGTGTTGCAGACCTTTCCTTGGAAGCCATCGTGGGCGGCTGCCTCCATTAGAACAATGAGATCGGTGTAGCGAGGTTTCTCCAGCGGAACCCTGTGGATAAAGTAGAAGAGATTAATATCTGACAATTTAAGGATACATTAAGTTCTTCGGTTATGCTAGTACAATTTTTATACAATTTTCTAAGCTAATAAAATTTTTTTGAACTGTAACATGGTCAAAAAATATATCTTGTTGTTTTAAATTTAGATATAAGTGATAATATCTTTAATGGAGAACTTTCGTTGGGATGAACAGAACCAAGATTTTTACAAAATTAAAAGTAAAGGTCAAATTAATAGAAAGTATAGTATATTTTAAGAATTTTTTTCGGTATGGCTTGGTAAGAATTTAAGGTAATATTTATTTTATAGACTTATCAATTCTTATATCTAAGTTTATAAAAATTACTGTCAAAAATATCTCTTTTTTTTCTCTGATGATATATTAGCTTACCCTTGGAACAATTCAATGGCGCCCAGAAGAGAACGTCCTGCCTTCGCGTATTCGTAGGCTGCCGCGGGGCTGGCACAGGATGCTGCATATAGACACTCATCTCTACCGGCTCCCTGGGCGGCTAGGAACCCAGTTATTAGGTAGTCATCACCAGATGTTAGGCCCAAACCGATGTTGCTATCACTCGAGCGACCATGGCCATAACCATAGGCACTCCAGTGTCCTGCTCCCAACATTCCAGCTGAGAAGATTAGGACTTTTAGCAGTACGATAATCAGCAGATTGGTTAGGTTCAGACTTAGGACCTAAGGTAGAATTATAAAATTTGAGAAAATTATAAATTAGGGCCCCTACTCTCTGACCCACTTGACTGTTTCCGGCTGATCGATGTAGCAGTTCCTTGGCCACCTGCATCACCACATGGCCAGCTGGACTACCCATCATGCTATTGGCACTTCTTAGCCAAGAAATAGGTCTTTCCAGGGAAGTAACTCCTCCATAGAACTCCTCTTCGTTGCTAGAGTTTGTTATGCCCCCACTATCCATATCCAGATCGTAGTTTTCCATTTGGTAACTGGCTGCCTTAGTTAGATCTAGGAAACAGATCAAAACTAAGAAGGAAGTAATGATGATGAAGTAATCCCCGCCTGGTTGTGGCATCTCGAAGATCGCGTGCTTGTCTATAAATCGGTCTGTATCGAATGTACCGCGAATGATGACTAGTCTGGGCCCTGGGAAGTGCCTGGTTTTTATGGCTTGACAGGTAGACCATCTGTTAGGAGGAGGAGATTGGGCTGCAGGCCTCGTTGCACTGGAAAAGCGCCTCGAAGAGCGAGAGTGTTTTTCCTGGTGTCATTAGCCTGAAAATGCCGCCGACGTTTTTCCGCCCGAAAAATCCCCTAATGTCAATGCTAACTCAATTCCGCAGGTAAACGCACGCGAAATTGTGCGTCGAGTGGAAAACAATTTGTGTCTTTGCTTTTGTATCAATCATCAACTCATTTATTGTTACTTTGGTTTTGGTTTTTGTTTTTCTTAGCCATTGCAATTGCCGCTTTTCATTGGAATAATTCGTAGTATATATATGTATATATATAGATTTGCAGTAAATTTGTGAGTACCGAATGAGTGGGTCTCCCTTGGTTTTTTTATTTTTTGGGATTTATTGGGGGAGACTGGGAGTTGAATCAATTACAGACAACATATAAGTACATATTTCTTGCTATACTTTCACAATAATACGAGTATTTATTTGGTATATTTTGCAACAGATTAGAAGTCGTGTAAGTTATACGCTATATGTTTGAGTATTTCGTTTGAATTTCCATTTCAATTTATGTATTCAGCACTTTCTGTTCTTTTGATGCACGATATGGTTATGGGAATGGGTTGAGTGAGTTGTGGGTCTGGTGCCATGATATATGTACGTTTGTCGAATTCCTCGAATGATGCCTGTATTTAACTATGTACTTTCTGTTCTACATTTGTCGTTATAAATATATGTTTATAAAACATTTCGTGAATATGTGCCAGTTCGAGTAAAATGATGATGTTTACGATTACGAAAAAGTACTTGTAGCCAAAGATTCACTTATAATTACATACATATTTTATATATATATATTTGAATATAGATGGTAGGATGATTAGAATGAAGTAACTGGGACTTGGCCCTAACCAAAAACAATAGTTATGCAATATACTTGTAGAGTTGTAAATTTGTTTAGATTAAAATATTTGTAGCATTCCCGAATGTAGATTCTACTAAAATCGAAGAGAGTTGGTAAACTAACAAGTTTTCAAGTGTTCTCGTGTTATATTCCTCTGCATATAACAGTGTTTAAAATTCTCTAATGCAATTAGTTGATAAAAGAGAGAACCATAGGTACAACCCAATTGAAATTTAACTATTACTTCAAATATAACATATGTAAAATTGTCTATTGCTCTAAATAATGCTTAAACATGTGCGTAACAAAAAACATTTATCAAAGCACTTGTTGCTAAATCATAGTCCTAACAAATTGAAGCTATTGTTTGATATTTCGAATGCATAATATGACTTCGTTGTTGTTGTCGCTTGCAACATTAATAAATATTTTCTTGTGTATATTATCTAAATATTCGTCAATATCATTGCCTCCATCCGTAATCCGTATATTTCTCGACCTTCGTGTACCGACTAAACCGTGTAAATTTATGTGGATCGCATGGGATCGCTAGATTTTCGAATACGTTTGGTTCGTTATTGTTGTCCAGTTGGTTCAGCCTAGTTTAACATTGCTTGTCGTGCTTGGTACTCTCCATTTCCATATCTTTCGAAGCCCCGATGCAGGCCTTTCTTGTTTGTAAACATTAACTGCTAATACATCATAATAATAATCATAATATTTGTGGTAATAAACATTTACTTTGTGTGTGAGTAGCTTCTGTTCTCGTGTGTTTCTTTGTGTTTTTGTGTGTTTCGCATGTAACATTTGCTCATAGTAATTTCCAAATACATATAGTTCGTTAACCGATTTATCCATTATAATTAGATCGCATATATATTAGTATTAAACGTTTGGTTGTTTGTTATACTTTGCGCATATTGTCTTTTATTTTATATAGTTTTTAGGATTTCATATGTGTCTCATGTTGGTTTATAACAGATTCATTAATATTTGATTTATTTAAAAGTTTTCCCATTGATTCATTAGCAGGTTAACACGTAATATATGCTAGCGAATACTTTTTATGTCATCAACTCTCAATTGGTTTAATATGTCTGGTATATAATTCAATATTTTTCTCAATAATATATATATTTAATATATCATTTTGTTGCTTTGGAAAATGTTTCAAAATGTTTTTAAGTATGGTAATTAAATAGGTTCCTCATTCTTTCTATTTTATCATGCTGCAAAACCAGTCAAGTCATCGGCGACATTTTTCATTGCACATATCTAATGGGCTTTGCATTATTGTTGTTGCATTGGTGGTTATAATTATATATTAGTAGTGTACTACAGTGTCTACATAGCATTTTCTGCTGCTTCTTCGCCTTCTTTGTGTATTTATGGCAAACGAAAGGAAGGTGTTTCGATCAAGATAGTTGATGGATGAAACGATAGTAACCCAATGATTATGGTTTTTAGTGAGTGAGTATATGCTTAGTGTTTGTTTTTCCCATGAAACCAGGAAACTTCAGAGGCAGAAAATAGATAGATTTCCATAGTTTGCTCGTATGAGTTCGTGTGTGTGTGTGTGAATGATTTTTTAAGTGAAAGTTCTACTTTGGAATTTGTTTTGGATTCACTTCAAGTCCAGTTCGTCGTCCTCCTCCCTGCTGGCACTCCAGCGTTTGGTGTGCGATCCAATGCTACTCATACTGCCCGAGTCGCTAAAGTCGCTGAATGCCGCATTCTGGATGCCCTCGTAGATCTTATAGCTTCCGGATCCCATTCCGGTTCCATTTCCGGAACCCATTCCACTGGAACTCATGCTCATGCTCTTGGCGGCCCCGAAGCGATCGCTTTTGTAGTTGGAGGGCGGTCCTCCGAAAATCATATCAGCATCCGAGATGGATCCTGCGGCCCGGGTGTATTTCCCATTTCCGTAGGACACGGGGGTGGTCTTGGTGTCTCCGAAAATGACATCCAGGTCCGAGTGCTTGGAAGCTGTAAGAATGAACATCATTTAATAAAAGATCATTATAATTTAAGACAAGTGCACATCAATTTGGCGTGGGTGCAGTTATTAGCACTTATCTTTAGCACTACGTGAGCCAATGGAGCTTTAATTCTATTTGTACAAGAGACGATCACAAAAATAAGCTTTAATCTATTATTTTTAGTCTTTTAAAGAAATATTTTTCTTTTTATTACAGACAATACTCTAAAAAACGTAAGTGCTAAACTAAAAATAAATTTGAAAAACTATCTCAAGTTATTTTAGATATTGAATAAATTTTGAATCTCTTGATATGACTTATTGTTTTGATCATCTTTTGTAAATTTGATACTTGACTTTTGGTGATGGAGGATGAGCAAAATGAGCGTTACCAAAAACAAGCATTATCAATATGTGGGTGAATGACAATGAAATTTTCGAATACTTGTGATTCTGATTCTTGAGCGACTTTCGGACCCAAGTACTTAATAACAGTTTTCTGTGGCTCATCTTTTGATAACTCTGCATTTACTGCAATACGCACACACACACGCTAAAACTGAAAAAGGGTTGCATTAACATTACTAACGAATTTTGTAGTTTCTAAAAGCTTTGATTACTCTTGTGGTGTTTTTATATGGTTTTTTTCTGGATTGTATCTGTATTGTAAATAGAGTTTCTATTGTATCTCTTAGCGTGCCCAAAAAGCCGGAACTGAACTCAGGTTTGCGGTGCACTCTAGCGAGTGTGTACTGTACGGTTCCTGTTGTAAGTCTTTTGAAATGTAGTGTTGTGGTGTGTGTGTGTGTGCAGGCAAGCGTTGTTTTTTTTATTTTTTATCATGGCTGAGACTTACAAACACTTGGGCGGCCCACAAGTCGTATACGTAATATTTGGCTTACTCACTGAGCTTGGCTAGGAAAATCAAAACAGTTAGGCTAAGAAAACACAACTCCTACTTTTCCCGTTTTGGCTAACACTTTTGACACGGCTGCCTACATGGCTAGGGTTAGTTAATCGATTACATTTAGTTGGTCTCTATATACCAGTAATATGGATCATACATGATTATAAATGTATATATGGGGTGTAGCTGAATTGGTACGATAATGATGAGATTAAATGGCATGATATGTAGGTATTTTTATATAAAGATCTAGATCCCTAGGTCTTGCGCAGGGTTAGGCTGACCAGGAGTACGCCCACGGCTAGATAATTACCATTGCTCTCGGATCGCGAGTAGGAGGGTCGGGTGTACGAGGGCAGATCGCTGGGATTGTTGAGCACCTCCTCGCCCTGCGAGGCAATCGAGTTGGAATCGTAGCCGGAGGTGTCACCGGGCAGTACAGTGGTCACTGCAGCCGGAGCACTGTAGACACTGGCCGATCGCATGCCGATGGCTGATCTCCAGTCATTGGTGGTCACCGAGGTGGTAATGGTTCCAGTGGTGGGAGCTACTATCCCAGCACTATTGCTGATGTTGGTGATGGCCGTGATGCCACTGGCTTCTCCCGCTTCCGTGGCCGTGGCCCCTGTGTTCGTGGTGTTCGTATCCATCCGTGTGATGGTCTCCACCGAGGTGGTGCTGCCGTAATTCCCATAACTGGTCTTGTCCTTGCTGAGGGAGCTGCTGAAGCTGTTCCTGTAGCCACTGGAACTATTGGCATTGCTACCACCCACTCCCACTGCCGCCATCACATTTGTGGGCGGTGGTGGTGGTGGACCCGCCGGCGGAGGCGGGGATTTGATGGCATTGCCATTGCGATTGATCCTTGAGGAGATGGATGAGGAGGACATCGATGAGGAGGAGGAGGTGGTGGTGTGTATGCTGGCCGCACTGCCCGACTTGTTGGGCTCCTTGTCGAAGGGATTGACCCGCTCCTGTTGCTCGTAGTTGGTCACCGGCTGGTAGCCAACGGTGCCTGCTCTTTCTGTATCCGTATTTGTTGTACCGCTAATCGAAACGCTGCTTTCCGGCCGGACGGCTGAGCTGGCCGTTGCCGGGATTGCTGGGGGCTCTTCGCTGGGACGCTGGGTGGGCTGGGTGGAGATGACGCCTCCATCGCCCACGCTAACGCCTCCCTTGCCGCCGGCGAACGAGAACTGCTTGCCGAGGAAGGAGCCAGTGAATCCACTTCCGGTTCCGCTGCCGCTTCCTGTCCCCGGTCCCGCGCTGCTGGGCACACTGCCCGGCCCGCTGCTCGTCTCGCTGGCCGTTCTGCCGCGCTTCTTATTAGCGATTTCCTACATGTCACCAAAGATCCCCGCAAAGGTCTTCCTCAGGTTCTTCATGGTGTCCTCGGCGTCCTCCACCACGGAGCTCTGGGTCTGTGGCGGCCTTTGGCCCACTCGCGACACCGAGGAGGAGATGGTCGAGGCCTGCGAGGTCTGCGAATCGCGACGCACACCGCCCACCGTGCTGGGTCCCGAGGAGGAGGGCTCCTCCGGCAGCTCCGAGATGCTGCTGCGGCTGCTCAGCCGCCCAATGGAGCCCACCGCCGGCGAGGTGCGCTCCGGAATGGGTGGGGGTCCACCCATGGGAGCCGGTCGTGGGCCGGCTGGGAGCGGCGGAGTGGGCGCCATGCCCTCGTCCGTGGGACTCTCCGCCCGCGAGGAGACCGAGGAGCGGGAGGGCAACTTGCCCGGTCCCGTCTGCGCCATGCTGGGACGGCAGACATTCTGAAATGATCAAATTGGGGCTTAGATGGGTAATAATACAAAATATATCATAAAAAAGTACAAAATTAAGCATGTTTTATCATAGAAGAAGGGCTTATTAACGTTGAATTGAAAGGAATTCCCTGTTTCTTAATAGTGTTGGCAAATCATATATCATAACTTGAAAATCATGTACTGAATAGATACACCAACCTGCATGCGTCCGGATACCAGATCGGCTATCTGCCTGCGGTCCTCCTCCTGGGAGTCCCCGATCAGGGCGAAGGTGCTGTCGCAGGCGCTGATGATATACTCGCGTCCATCTTTGGCCACCACCACGGAGAGACCACACACTTCCATGCCGCCAAAGAGCTCCGATATCTGAAAGTGATACGCAAAGATTAGAATTGCAATTGAGTCATCGTGACCCTAAAATGTGTTTTCGATTCCATATGCAGCCAGACGGGAATCGGCTCAAACATTTCTGTGTGGGCTTCCGACGATTTGCAGTGCCGGTTTTAATTACACAGTTTGTTTTGATTAAAGCTAACGCTAAAGCTAATGCCGATGCTCATTCCGACTTGCCTAGAATTCCGCTGACGTCGTCAGCGGCCCACCCACTTCATATTGCACTTGGGAAAACTGTTAAACTGCATGCACACATTTATCTTGGCAATGATATATTATTGATACGACGTGATCCTAACAGATCTGTCGATTTTATGACAATAACTTAGGTCAAGACTTTGATTTGAATAGCTGAAGAGAAAATAAATCACAATAATATAAAAGGCATTACACCTTACAAATATACTCTACAAAACTTTTTATTAACAAGTAAAAAATTGAAAAATGTTTCTAAGGAAATTTTTGATATACTATCCCTATTAAATAATAATGATTTTTAAATATTTCTCGTTTTAATTTTCAGTGTAAGTAATTTTTGATACAAAATACATGGACTTGGGTCTGTTTTGCTATAAGATAAATATTTTTATCCACTCATTTTTCTCTGAATGTAACTAAAAACTGCTGCCGCCTTATCTAATGATCGGCACTTGAGTAAATGGCAATTAATTAATGCACATATGCAGTATAATATGGTGACTCACTCGAGACGCAAAGGAAATCGAGTTGAGCATTCGCATTGATAAAATGCCACATCTGATGGATTTCCCATGTCTCAAAATGCTCGCACCTCATCTGGCAATTATGAGGAGGTTGTCTAAAGATTGTTTTGAGTGCAAACTACCGTTACCCCATCGCTTATTGGCGGCTAAATCCGTTTAACTGTTTTGCCATTTGCATATTCATGAGCTCTAATTAAAGTTGTGCCGCCGCTCGAGGGCACTGCAAACTCGGTCGTCGTCTGACGTCAGTGGAATATGATTTCTGGTATTGGTTCCATGTAGGTTCTCCTTTTGCCGACCCCTCGGGGTGAATCGGAAAAGCAGCCGAAATCAAATTTGTGCACCCAAAATGCCGCAAATAATTTAAAGCGATTTTCCTTAGCCATATTGATTGGCCAAATTTGATAAATGCGAGCTGAACTCAACTGGGCTAAGCTAGGCTGAGCCAGATTTCCATGAATTGGCTGAGAATTCGAGGCTTTAACGGTAATGTAAGCGGGTTTTTGGGGGCATGTTAGCAGGCTGGAACGGATTCGGTCTTAAAATGCCCTAATATGATGTTTTTTTCACTCAAAAAATGTGAAATATATTATATCTTTAAATTTTTAAATAGTTTTTAATAGTACAATACATTGTCCCTGGTTTAAATCACTTAATGAGCTATTTGGCTGTCCATGTAGGATAATATAATACTGTATAATACTGACTGCTCCAAAAAAATCCTTTATTTTTGTAGAGAAAAGGAAAGTCGGTTGAGTTTTGGAACCTTAATTCCCCGTTTGATTTAGTGACCCATGCCTTCGACTCTATGACTTACCTCATCCACCCAGCTTTTGTACTTCTCGGTTAAAGTGATTTGCTCCAGCATGGCTGATCCCTGATTGGTCTTCCAATTGCCGGTGATGGATTTGCGCCTGTTAAAGAGCGAAAGCGGTTGAGCATGGCATAAGCATAATAAATTAGGCGGCGAAAGAGGCGTAGATAATGCGTTTTGGGGAGGGGGGGTCTTCAAGAGAGATCTAGAGGTCTTTGAACCCATTTACCGGCATTTTATTTCATTTTGGCCTGGCAAACAATGAACTCTTGCCGCTGCACTTGGTAGGATAATTGCCAATTGCAAAGCGGTCGCTTTTGTCTGGCGTCTGCTGACAGTTGCAAGGTCAGCCCATCAGACCACTAGACCCCTGCGACCCCGCGACCCTTCCCTTGCGGCATTGTGGTTTTAGCTTTCGGTTTCGGTCTGCGGTCACTTACATAAATGCCTTGTAGTTGTTGCCAATCTTCTGGATGTGCACGCTGAACTTGGCATCGATATAGGGCTCGATGGTGCAATAACAATGCGAATCGTTGCCGGCACCGCTCACCAGTCCGGCGGCATCTTGCAGGGCGCTCTGGTTCTCCAGGCGGGCGGTGGCCACGCCGCCGTGGCAGTGACCAGCCTTCAGCACGCTGGGGAACTTGGTGAATTGGAACTGCAAGTGCACAAAGAAAAAAAACGCCAATTAATTTTTGTATCTTAAAAAACACTCTTTGAACTTTTCCAAGAAGCCTGAACTTTGTCAGAATGTTAGTATCTTTAAGATACTTTATTATCATTATTCAAAGCAAAGATCTCTTAAAAACTTTTTTAATATAATATAACATATTTTAGATACATTAAACATTTTTAAATGTATATTTAAGCAAATAAAATATTTCGTGAATTTTTTATCTTTATTTAGATTTTTAAAATTTTTTGGAATTAATGCTTATATATATATTTTATTTATTGTTTTCTCTAATAAATATGTATATTAGGATCAAGATATGAGTACATATATGGAGCTTAAATAAATATCGATGCATTTTTTTTTCAGTTTGGAGAAGAAAGATACCGAGGCAATCACAATACGTTTTCGCTTTTCTGATTGGAATTCTATAAATTACAATACGTTGATGATGGCACTCAAGCTTTTTGCTTTTGTTATTTTATTTTCTGCAGAAACAACGAGAGCGTTGCTTATTAATCCATTGGATAAGTGCCAAAATTCGTTGGCTATTTTTGCTTGAGTTGCGATTAAGAATCTGGCCATGATAATTTTCTTTGATTTGCCTGCCCATTTCCAAGAATTCTCAATTATTAGTCAGCCCGGGTATTTTCTGAAAATGCCTTGCCGTTATTAATGGTGTATGTAAATTTCTATAAAATATGTAAAAACTACAAATCCCTGCCCTCAAACATTTGACTAATTCACATTTTATTAATTGTACTGCATTGCTCATAGTTATTACATTTGTATATGCAAATCTACAAGCGATTACCCTTGTTAATCATCTCTCCCAGAATGATATTTAAACAGTTGATAAATCACAAGTAAACACATGGGCTTAAATTCGAGTATTGATAGGGGGTGAATAAATCAAAATAAAACAGGAGAGAAAAGCACAACAAATATGACGCAGCCCGAAGAATTGTCGCAATTGCCGCCGATGAGAGACTATCGTGTTGAAAGAAAAGCCCCCTACAAACAGAGTGCGAGAAATCTCTCAATGAATATAAACATCCACATATATTATATAAAGTATCTGCGATGGATGTGGGTTCGGTTATGGGCATTATCGTCGACTCTGGACTGCGAATGAGACGTCACACCCCCACATAGCCGGCATTCTTGGAAGCTGCTACGTATTCCGCTTGAGTGCCCACTGTCTAGAGGTCTGCTCTTCGGTTATATCAGCGAACTTAAAATATGCACTGTGACGCATCCGTGGTGCCCTGAAGGGGGTTCATTGGAAGGGGGAGGTGGGTGGTGTTTGTTGAGAAAGCGATGTACGAGTGCACCAGAAGAAATATACAACCTATAGATATCAGCTTTATTGTGCCTACCCAGCTTAGGTCATTGTTAATTAAGAAAGTTGTTCCTCAATGTTGTTTTATTTATTTGAGTTACTTAAATATATTTAAGCTTACTGAAATTAAAATTGATAACAACAAAGAAAAAGAAACCTCTATTAAACATTTAAAAAATAAGTTATTTAAAAATATATCATAGTAAAAAACGAAACCAAAGTACCTTTTATATATTCAAGATTTTTAAACCTACAAGAGAATTTGAAGAATTCCCCAACAAAACTATCTTGAAATATTGGAGATTAAAAAAAATATATATTTTTTTATATTTCCTTCAAAGTGTTCCAGATGTTAGAAACTTAGGAGCTATCCAAATTTTCATAGATTGTATTATAATACTGAACGGTCCTAAAATGTCTTTCCTTAACATCCGTTTTTAAGAAATACGAGGTTTATTAGATCTGTTACGCAGTAAATTTGAGATTTGGAGTGATTGGAGTGATTTTACGTATAATTTCACATCACTCCGATAAATGTAAGCTTAGGCGTTAGTCTAGACGACATTTTCTCTCTGTGTAGACCCATAGTGCGGTGGCGTTAGCGGTTCGGTTATGCAGATTATGGCAACGTGCTGTAGGTGGAGCGTGGAGTACGCTATAAGGCATGACCGGAGCAGCAGCACGTGTGTGTGCCACATGGCCATAGGAAGTGGAAGTTGGATCGCCGGCGACTCTACGTAGCTGCATAGCTAAATTATTAGTTGATTTGCGGTCCGACAGATGCGCTATTTTCTGCGGTTTCGTGTGGCGATGCAGCGCCCGATGTCTTTCTCTCATTTCGGCCATGGCGCCAAGTATCTACGACTATGCCATATAGTATGCCTATGGCCGAGAGCATAAACCAGGCCCCTGCACGCAATTAATAAAGCTGCCAAGGTGAAATAATGCTACGAAAAATGCAATCGACTCTCCTCCACTCACTTTCCACTCATTTACGGGGAATTTATGGCGCTTTTGATCGGCCGACTGCCGCGAGAAACACTCAAGTTGTGTTTATATGTACGTATATGGGGACTCAACCGATCGATTCGATCTCTCACTTCCCGAACAACTTGAGTGAGATCTTTGGGGTATTCGGGTTCGGGGCTTCGGTTAAGAAAACAGACGAATCGGTTGACTTGGATTCAGTGCAGAACCGCAAGCGCAGCGAGCTAGAACGCCACAAAGTCGGCGACGGAGAATCCGCGAGATCGGGAATATATAATATATTCTACCAAGTGCGAGTGCCGGTGGAAATAAGTTAAACAGTTTTCCCCCATTTTTCGTGCCATTGAGTTCAAGTGTTTAAAAGTCTGAAGTGCTAGTATTCCCCAGGAAAAGAGAGTGCAGCTTTAAGGTAAAAATCTAGGCGTATTTTGCTAAAATCGGTTTTTGAAGACACCATTTAAACATGTTAATTAAGTTCATTAATTTCCGCATTGCAAATAGGTGGCTCAAAAATATGCACCTCGGTTTACTTGGCTTCATTTTAGTTTTGGAAAGCTTTATTTAAGCATTTGTATTTATTCATTGATTTTTTCGCATCCTAAAAGTTCCTCATATATGATAAAACAAATCTTTTTTAGAAGTTTCATATATGTTTGAAGCTTAAAAATGTTTTCATCTCAAAGGAAAAATATTGGAAATAGCTGCCTGTGGCATTTTCAAGTTAAAAGAGAGATTTTAATTAAATTATCTAATCCATTTCACAATTTTTCCCAAAGCCTGAAGTGCAAATTTGCCACAAAAACAAGTTGCGATTCAAAGGCTAAAATGCAGAGCTGCGTTTGTCTAACTTTATTTTAGTTTTAGAGTTGTTTGGCATTTAGAAGATTCAAATTGAAGGCATGAAAAACGCGCGACACGAACGCGTTTTTTTGGGGCTATTTAAAACGCGCGCTGGGAAATTTAGAGACGTTGACACAGCGACACAGTTTTCCAACCCAACGCTCATTTCTATTTATTTGCGTTTATTTATAATTTGTTTTTATTTGCCTGGCTGTGCATCTGTTTTCCTAGCTCTTTGGAGCGTCCCCAGTTTTCTTCTCGATTTGTCTTAATAGTTTTTAATGTCGCCAATTTGTAAACAAACTGCAGCCATTAAAAAATATACAAGTCGTTTCGGTTGTGCAATATCGTCTGATCGTAAAGTCCAGCCGTATCAGAGATGTTTAGGTATTAAAATTAAACTTGGATGTCAAGGAAAGTGTGTGTGCCAGAGGTATTTCCATATTACGCATACGTCATGTGTGTTTTGGCATTGGCCATTTAATTTCTAAAAATATGGAAAACACATCAAATGTTTTCGACTGCTACCACACATAAAACCCATAAAATTTACAAGCTTATCTGGAGGGTAGGGAAAATTGCCCAGGGGAAATGCGTGGAAATGCATTTCAAGTGCCTTTCCATTCCCCTTTTCTTTTGACACGACAACAACTCACATTGTTTCGCCTGGATATTCATAATTTTTCCTTCATTTGACTTTGCTGTTGACTCTTCGTTGTTTGTGCGACATTTAAATAAGCTTTTATTTGTATTGGCTTTTCGGTTTTCTGGGAAATTGTTCAACAAATTGCCATGTTCGCTTTTATTTTCACGTTATCTGGCAGATAAACAATATGGTATCGTAGTAAAAGTTTATATTTTAAGTGTGCTAAATTTTGCTATGAATTTATTATTTGTTTTTATCTGGCACATATTCACATATGGCGCCTTTAGATTATCTCAACCACTTATTGGGTTAGCGAAATCCCGGTTAGTAGGCTACACAGAAATAAACAATGACTGCTTCGACGTTAATTAATACTAAATGTCAGTGTGTCAGCCACTCTACATTTTCATCGACTGCTTATGGGCTATTATTAGAGATTATTCCAGTAATTATTTTGCATACCCCTATAAATTATAAACTGTTTATGCAGATTCTTCTCTATTATCAATCAAAGTTTCAAGATTTCTTTATAAACTGGCAATGCTAATCGGAATATTAATTTTAACACTCATGATCTTTAATGTTTAATAAACTTCTAAGTGGATATTTAATAAAGTATTTATACCCTCTAAAATCTAACAATAAATTTGTCAGTAAATTAATATTAAATGTCAATGTGCCAACCACTAAAAAAATGTAGTTAACTCTTTGTAAGCTATTACCTACGATTACATCACTAATTATTTTGCATATCTCTATAAGTTATTAAAATGTGCATATAGGTTATCCAAGTATTATTGTTATATTATAATAATAATAAAATATATTATTGTTATATAATATATTACAATATTACCTAATTTCAATGGTGTAGGAAATTGTAAAATCCACTTTTCCTGTTGATATGCAATATGTTGATATTTTTGTGTCAACAATTCCGAGAATCCGATCAATGTGGTATTGTGGATTTCGCATAAAAGCCACAAAAACCGCGCAAATAAAATTGTCATAACCGACGATTGCGACTTTTCCCTCGCACATCATTCAATACCCCATATAAGGGGCATGCTTTTAAACCCCCCCAAAAAAAATGAGACAGACATTTCCCCTTATAAGGCTGCCGATACAGATACAGAAACTTTGGTTTCGGGATTGTTTATGTCGACACAC